ATAAGGCATATGAAGGTCAAAAACTGCCCAACACAAACTGTGAGTTGATGAAGAAAAATTCTCATCATACAAAAGTACAACGAAAATATTTTATTTCTTGATGACCTTCAGCGTACGTTGATGTATGCAAAATTAGGCCTTTTTAAAAATGTAGACATTCATTTGATGAAGGGTTCAAAGGAAATAAAATACAAACGTATGTGACAAGTAGATCTTTGCTCCAAAGCACTTCCGCTACTGCGTGTATACTAAGATGGTGGGAGACATCACTAGTTTCTGAAGCTTTTAAGGTTATTTTAAACAACGCAGAAGGACCAGCAACGAAGAACAAGAATAAAATTTAACAGTACAAATATCTTGTAGTAAAGTTATGATGATATGAGACTGGTAATTCACAAGCCTAACTTACTTACTTACCTGTTACTCCCAATGGAGCATAGGCCACCGACCAGCATTCTCCAACCCACTCTGTCCTGGGCTTCCTTATCTAATTCCATCCAATTCTCGTTCATCTTTTTCATGTCTATTTCCATTTCTCGGCGTACTATGTTCTTTGGTCTTCCTCTTTTCCTTTGGCCTTGGGGATTCCATGTGAGGGCTTGTCTTGTGATGCAGTTCGGTGCTTTCCTCAATGTGTGTCCTATCCACTTCCAGCGCTTCTTTCTGATTTCTTCCACCGCGGGGATCTGGTTTGTTCTCTCCCACAGTAAGTTGTTGCTAATAGTGTCCGGTCAACGGATCTGAAGTATTTTGCGTAGACAACTGTTAATAAACACCTGTATCTTCTGGATGATGGCTTTCGTAGTTCTCCAGGTTTCCGCCCCATACAGTAGAACTGTCTTGACATTTGTATTGAAAATCCTGACCTTGGTGTTGGTTGACAGTTACTTTGAGTTCCAGATGTTCTTCAATTGTAAATATGCTGCTCTTGCTTTGCCAATCCGCGCCTTCACAACTGCATCAGATCCACTACGTTCATCAATGATGCTGACGGAATATGTAAAGGTTTCAACATCTTCCAAATTTTCTCCGTCAATTGTGGTTGGATTGGTGCATGTTGTGTTGTATCGGAGAATCCTGCTTTTCCCTTTGTTTATATTGAGACCTACTGATGCTGAGGCTGCTGCCACACTGTTCGTCTTCTCCTGCATTTGTTGTTGCGTTTGGTATAGAAGGGCCAGATCATCTGCGAAGTCCAGATCGTCTAACTGCATCCTAGATGTCCATTGCATCCCATGCTTCTCTTCAGATGTTGACGTCTTCATGATCCAGTCGATCACCAGGAGAAAGAGAAAGGGTGAGAGTAAGCAACCTTGCCTGACACCGGTCTTCACTTCGAACGACTTTGTTAACTGTCCTCCATGCACGATTTTGCAGTGTAATCCATCATAGGAATTCCGTATGATATTGACTATCTTCTGAGGCACGCCGTAGTGTCGAAGAAGTTTCCATAGTGTTGTCCTGTCCACGCTATCAAATGCCTTTTCGTAGTCAATGAAGTTGATGTAGAGTGATGAATTCCATTCAATTGATTGTTCCACAATGATCCGTAGAGTTCCGATTTGGTCTGTACACGATCTATCATTACGGAATCCTGCCTGTTGGTCACGAAGTTGGGCGTCTACGCAGTCCTTCATCCTGTTTAACAATACTCTATTGAAGACTTTTCTCGGTATTGAGAGAAGAGTGATGCCCCTGTAGTTATCACACTTGCTGAGATCGCCTTTCTTCGGTATTTTGATCAGGAGTCCTTCTTTCCAGTCTTTTGGTACTTGTTCTTCCTCCCAAATCTTATTGAAGAGAATGTGGAGTATCCTTGCAGTTGCCACTACGTCTGCTTTTAGTGCCTCTGCTGGAATGTTGTCTGGTTCTGCTGCTTTGCCCCTCTTGATTTGTCTGATGGCCATGCTGATTTCTTAAATTGTTGGTTGATTGGGAGGTCCGTGGGTGCTGCTTCGATGTTGGGTGTGTTCAGTGGAGCTGGTCGATTCAAGAGTTGTTTGAAGTGTTCTACCCACCTGTTTTGTTGCTCTTCAATGTTAGTGATTACCTCGCCTTCCTTGCTTTTCACTGGTCGTTCTGGTTTGCGACGATTTGCAGAGAGTTTCTTTGTTATGTCATACAGTTGTCTCATGTTCCCTTCACTTGCAGCCTTTTCCGCCGTCTTTGCTAAATCTTCCACATATTTACGTTTGTCGATTATGATACTCCTCTTCACTTGTTTGTTTACTTCTGTGTATTCAGCTTGTGCTTTGGCTTTTTGTGTTCTTGTTCGACTGGAATTGATTGCTGCCTTCTTGTTCCTTCTTTCTTGAATCGTATCCAGTGTACCAACAGTGATCCATTCCTTGTGATGATGCTTCTTGTGACCCAGGACCTCATGACATGTTGAAGTGATTGCCTCTTTGATCCCCTTCCAGTTGCTCTCCACAGTAGTTCCTTCTCCATTGAGTAGATCATGAAAGGCCTGGAACTTGTTGCTGAGGACTATCTTGAATTTGTTGAGTTTGTTAGTATCCTGAAGAAAGGCCGTATTGAACTTTTGTGATATTGTCCACCCCATTGTCCAGTGCTTCTTGAGTTTCAATTTCATCCTGGCGACCAGCAAGTGATGATCTGAGGCTTTATCAGCTCCTCTCTTGGTTCTCGCGTCCTCTATAGTCCTCCTGAACGTTTTGTTGATGCAAATATGGTCGATTTGGTTGTGCGTGGTGTGATCCGGCGAAGTCCATGTGGTTTTGTGAATGCGTTTATGTGGGAATATGGTGCCGCCTATAACCAGTTTATTGAAGGCACATAGGTTTGCAAATATCTCACCATTTTCGTTTCTTTCTCCCAGTCCATGTCGTCCCATGATGTCTTCATATCCAGTGTTGTTCGTTCCAACCTCGGCGTTGAAATCTCCCATCAGAATGGTCAGGTCCTTTATTTGGCACTTCTCGACGATTAACTGCAGACTATTGTAGAATTGATCTTTAGCGTCTTCATTGTAGTCGTTGGTAGGCGCATAGCATTGGATGATATTCATTGTAATGCCCTCCTTCTTTGTTTTGAACGAGGCTTTGATGATCCTTGGTCCATGAGATTCCCATTCTATAAGCACATTTTGCGCTTGTTTGAACAGCATCAATGCAACTCCTTGTGTATATGGGGCATTTTCTTCTTCATGGCCGGAGTATAATAGAAGCTCTCCTGATGTTAGTCGTTGTTGTCCAACTTGCGTCCAATGTATTTCACTGATCCCAAGTACCTCTAGGTTGTATCTTCTCATTTCTGCAGCAATTTGGAAGGCTCTCCCGGTGTCCCACATTGTACGAACATTCCATGTACTTAAATAAATGGTCGCTCTGGTTGTCAGAAGGGACATCGGCCTCGTAACTTCCGAAGGAATTCGGCTTTCATCATGAGGCGTCATAGTTCTTCTAAATGAAGACCTTCTGACTCCCAGGGCAGAGGTTAAAAGGTTTGAATAATTCTTTCTGGTTAGCTTTTTTTTAGCGTGTTAGTTTTCTACGGGATGGGGACGCTAGCCCCCGGAGGGACTCCAGGCGGAGATATTCACAAGTCTTATTTGATATGAATTAGAACCAACAGATTCTATGTACATCATAATATTGAATATTATTTAGTCAATATTGAAGTTTATCCAAAGTAAACCGAGAAGTCTTAGAAGGACAACAAAATCGTTATATAATTACAAGTTTTTAGGAACCACGATCACCCTTGCTTTATTTTGACAAATAATAAACTCTTTCAGGGGTGACCTGCAAAGCTTCTTATCTGCCTTGGATTGAGTTTTCGCACATAGTGATGAGTTTCTTACACTCATAAAATTGAGTGACCATGAGGTTAAGTTCATGACTGCTATGGTATAATAATCCGATGCTCTAGGCAAACACAATAACAAACCACTCTGCAGAATCAACTGAGACTTGGAAACCTACTTCAGTGCACACCTTGGAGGGGCAGTGACTCACTCCAAAGCGTTTTACAACTAAGTAACTCAACCATATATACCCTGGACAATACCATTTGTATAAAAGGAAAAATGTTGAAACACTGCCAATAAACCCGACACAACGAAAAATATAGAACTTTACAATCCACTTTGAAACGGATATATAAATACAATCCTAGAAGCTGAACGGTATTTGCAAATATCAGTTGGCTCAATTTCCAATCGGGCAGCTGAAATGACTGTAAACACCAAATGTAGAACAAAGGTCAACCTTTGAATTGCTAATTCAAGCAATGATTGCTGCTCATGCTAAATAGTAGGGAAAAGTTAGAACAAAACAGAAGCTGTGAGTGCTTCGTGAAGATCTCTTAAGAGCTCTTTTCGACAAAGGATTAGATCTGCTGCGAAATGTCATCCGTATACCAGTTCGAGGCGCACCACTGGCTTCAAACATTGGCTTCACAAATGTTCAAATCAAATGACCGACTTGCTTTATTTTATCCTCCAAAAAAAAGGCAGAGATAATAGGTTTCAAACTTACTGTTAACCCGATAAGTTCGTTTCCATGTAGAGTAATTGGAATATTCACTAATTCAGAGAAATAAATGCGTCATTTGGGTTGCTCGACTCAAAACTCAATAGTCAAACAGGATGTATCTAGAGAAACGCGCCAAGTAGATCACCACTGCCTGGACGATTATCGGCACGTGGTACGTCTAGTCGAATGTAAGCAGTTGCTCGCGAACGGACTTTTCAAGAATTTGACAGGGTATTTGGCTGTCATATACTCATGAAACTCCCATGCCCATAAACATCATGATATGAATTTCTCTTTGCCTGAACTTTCCCAAAATGTGAAATCTGTTGACAGTCCAACATATTCACTGGACAATATGTCAAAAGTACGTGATAACACTCAAACAGATATTACTAAAAATAGATCTATTCAAAATGGATACTGAATGAGTTAGTTTTCTTCTAATCTTATAGCGTTTCTTTAGAAAACATTATGACTTCAGCCCAAAGGAACTATTTGACGTACATGATCTCGTCACAAGTCTATTGATTTTTTCGCTATTGAACATAATCAGTTTTTTTTGTTTACGCGGTATTTTGTTCCTTGGAACATGATGTCGAGTGGTGTTAGATATTCCGAAGGGAATGATTCTAATTGTTCCAGTACATTTAACAAAAAAATATCAGAATGCGAACCACTTCCAGATTACCATTTTTTCTGTCAACTTGCCCATGGAAGCCCTACCGGAATTATACATGGTTTTACTACAGTCCGTCAGCTCCACACGAAAATATCGGAGTGTTTTGATATAAATCCATCTCAGGTGAAGTTGAATTATTTCATTTGCATATCTTTATCGTTGATGATTGCTGTCTGTCGTTTTTAAATGGTTATAAGTTACTTTTCTTCACAACATATAAGGTTTCATCATACAGATGCGTAAGAATATCCCTTTTTCGATTATTCAGGCTTATTTCTTGATAATCAGTCAAATTATGTACCTTAAAACTATCATATGGGGGATAAGGTCATTGTTTTATGTGTATGTGAAATGACCGTATGAATTTGAATGCACCTGATGTTAATACCTTTTTGGAAACGACATACAAACATATTTTAAGGTAGGTGAATGCTCATGAGAAAGAAGCACTTGTGTCTTGTTCAGAAATGCTGTCTTTTTATCTCACTTTTTACTAAGTCCTCGACTTATTATGAATAACAACATTTATGAAGTATTTGGCTTGATAATGTCTGTATCCAAATAGACGAAAACGATTGAAATAATGAGGCCATTTAGCATTTAGAAGATAATAAAGTTATGCAAATATACAAACTTTTTGTATTTATACACTCATTATCTTCATATATGACTACTTTTGTGTCACTTATACACATTATCACTGAAATGTAAACTTGTTTCATATGCCGAATTATACATTTTTGCCACAATCTGTTGACTTACAAGAATTTCATTGTTTTTTGAGACGTTAATCACTAAAAATCTAGTTATATCTTGTCAAGATTGTAATTCTAGCTTCAAAAGTAACTTAGTGAAATTTATGTTTATTGGTTCAATAAGATAATTTTTTCTCCACGAAAACCTAACATTGTTTTACGTGTTAGCTATCATCCTAAAGTTGTGGCTTGGGTGTGATAGTCTTGTATTTCTGATGTAAATGAATGTAGTTGTTGTATCTGGAAAAGCTTTCAGGAAAGAGTGCTCTGATCCACTCTTGCTAATATTAGCCTTCAAAAATAAGGCTTATTTGTAGGTTACCTGTAAGTGACCATGAACTCTTTCGGAGCATTTCTTTATGTTAGGACCGCCTAATGGGCAATGTTGATGTTAAATAGTTGATACTAGGTAGTAAATTTACATTCTTGACCACCACTATCAATCCAAAGAGTTATCATTCTTTAAATTCAGCCGGTTTTTTATACATAGACTGCCTGATTACGATTTGAGTGATTATCGCAATGGACAGTTTAAAACTTAGGGAGAAATGGGCCAAAATCTCTGTTCTCTCCCTTTGATCGCAAATTTATTCACCACAATGTGATCAATTTCTGAATTTATATTCAAACTCAACAACACCTTTTGCCTCGCTATGATAGTTGGGTTTTTAAATCAGTGACTACGCAACAAAGGGATGTTTACTGAAAAACTTGTCGCTTAAAATCCTTCCCCATGAGGAGGGTCAACTAGATGGTAGTGAGAAAGTACGTTGTAAATTTAAGGTTTGGGTGCGAAGCAATGTTATCAGATGTTCGTAGATTTGGCAGCAGTAGGTTGTTTTCCACAAATGAACATCATCGACAATACCTCCCCCTCACAATACAATGTGTGTTTAATCACTATTTGTATTTTTGTTGAAAGATTTTTATCTAAAGGTTTTACTTTATATCACCCGTCTTTTAATGTAGTAATTTTACGGTCGCTTAGTTTGTGAACGAACAGTTTCTGTGACAATTTAACGTCTTTCTAATAGACTGAATCAAGCACCATATATTTGACTTGCTTTCTAATAAAATACATTTTCTAAATAAGATTTTCATGAAATCATCTAAAATCTCTGTTTGTTACCATGTAACAAGTTCTTTCAATTCTAAATCTAGTTCAATATTTAGTTAAGTTTGTAGTGACATAAAAATGAGTAGCATATTTATATTATTTGGTCAAGTTTTGTTGTGTTCTATCAAATAATTCTTCATAGTTTTACAAAATATATTCTTAAAACTCATGAAGGCTTCTCTTTTTCATTGTATTAATGTAAGCCAACTCATTTAGTCGATGATTGAGCCAAGAAATTTAATATGAGTAGAAGTGATCTGTCCAAACAAGCGTATTGCAGGCATAAGAAGTAACTTTCACCTACCTCAAACCCTTCTTATTCTCTTTTGATATAACATTAGTTATTGCTTTTGAGCAGTGACACACTGATGGTATGGTTGTAGATAAATTAGTTATTAGTAGAATTCAATAATAATGTTGAGGTTTAAATTTGGTAGTTTTCTGTTTAACTATAATATGTTTGAACATGATTTGCACTTTATTAGTAAACATTTTTCCTCAACAACGACTTTTATCCTCAAAAAAGACCAGCTTTTGGCGACCGTGAAGTTTGCTTAGATTTATATTCTCCTGGTTTTTATGAGATGCAACAATATATTAAATAATAGGCGATTCCCTTCTGCTTCAATCCATACATACTCTATATTCCCTTGAAAAAGCTTGGATCAGATTGTCAGGAGAAACGTTAGATTCGCTTCAAATTCTTTCGCTGAGATTTCAAAAATACACTCTTTCTCTTCAATATAGAGATAACGTTTTCCTTTTGTGACATGATTAAGATTAATAATTAGATTTTACATTTTTAATACCATGATGGCAGATTAATTTTATTACCTGTCAATATCATAGACGATGAATATGTGTGATTGAAGGTTCTTCGATGTCTTTTCTTATTTCTAGATATAATTGACGTAATATAAATTAAACATATATAGCTCATCTCCACATTTTGTGTGAGAAGAACAAATTTGATGGAAATTAGATCTTGAAATGAAGACCTAAGTTAAAGATATCCTCTTATTTACTTGAACACATGAATATTGGTACAAGGAGGCACCGAATATATATGCGTCAAACAAGTCACTTTATTTGTGTGTGGACTGTGATATTGACCAGATGCCCAAAGCGATCCAGGTGGTTTTCTTAGGGGGTCACGTCTAGAGCTTTTGACCTAAAGGTCTGATCCACTATGCAGTGAAGCAACGTTAGGAGATGTAGTCCCATGGTAGCTGGTCATCAACAACAGGTTTACATTCCACTTGTTCCCTTAAGATCCTGTAGCCCATATAAACCACTGGTTGTGATGGTTGTTGTATACGCGTGATAATGTGAGAGCATTTGGAAAGGGACAACGGACTCTCACCACCTTCGGACGTACCAGGACATTTGAGGGCATCCACTCACTAGATGAATAAAAATATTTTGCACAAGTATCACACATTGAGAAGAAAATGTACTACAAATTTATTATCATGCAACCTATCCCATCATAAGCCAATTGTCTATTTTGTTGATGTACTTATACATACAATCCTTATTCTATCAACATGTTGCTCGTCCATCCAGCTCAGCGAACAAAGCTCCATTGATATACAAATCTCGCCTATTTCAATGGGCGATGATTGTTTACTCAGAAGTAGGTCGGTAAAAATCTATATGCAACCAAACCAAGATATGGAATTAGTTCATGTAATCATTTGGTTTGATCTATATTGACAAAAGCAAAACATGTTGTTAAAATCCATATAATAACCACAATCAGTGACTGGAGACATTTTTTAAACATCGTTCAGAATCGTTCACAATAGTGTAAGTTTATTTACACTTCATCTACTCTCGAATATATAGTTCTAATATTCCATTTAAAAAAAACAGTTTACATATTACATTTCTGAAACAGAATCTTAATGGTGGATCATTTTCATGATCGTTTCCACTTAAATATATCGATCTGTTTACAATTCATTTGCTCGTTATTTTCATCTCACTTTGTTAATGTAATAGAACCACTTGGTTATAAAATAATCCATATAAATATATATAAACAGAATGACCTGGAACAAAGGTTGCATGTAGAAAATGGATACCTCGTGATTTCAGTAAGATTGGAACACTTGTAACAAAAGCATACAATCACAGTTTATTATTATCACATGTGTGTAAACTGCCATCTATACAGTTTCCTGTCTCGTATTTACAAGTTAAATCAATGTTCACGAAATGCCTTCAATGAAACTATGATAACCAACTCAGTGGTGGTGTACTTTAAAGCATTTTAAAAGTTCCAATGCTTAATTGAGATTAGATATGTTGAGAGTAATAAAAAAACATTTTTTTACCAAGGGGATTAGAAGGTTGTTACCTCGTAAACTAAATGAAGTTGAAACTGTACAACCTGACGTCGACCGATTGGTTGTAATATTTAGGCTTTCTTTGTGAACTTAGAAAGTCCATGGTTTGATCCCCGGTTGGGTCGTCAGTTTAGGCTGCTAGAAATCGCAAAAATGACATAAAGAAAGCTTTCACTGCTCAGTATCAATTGATAATAGTCTCAATATATCACAAACCTGCTGAAGTTTAAAATATAAACTAGTAGATACCAATGCAATAGTTTTAAAGTTAAGCACTTTCCACTAGACCCAAGGACCGTGTCGTGAACCACTGGTAATTCGGTCAGTCAGCTCATTAGCTACATCGTAGGATCAGGCACATATAGGCATCAGTCTAAGTTGCCACACATCATTAGTACCCCAAAATAAACACCAAATTCACAGAAAGAGTTCATTCAATGATAATTATATATAAAAGAAAGATCGTGTATAATACAGGAAGAAAGAATTAGAAAGAAAGGTATGAAGCAATTTTATTCTCACGATTTAAGGGAAGAAAAAGAGTGTATACATCTACACCATCGTGATCGATTCTGAGCCATGTCACTCAGTCTCCATCCATTGGTTATGACAGTAATACGGACTCCTATCAGGTAGCCTGCATCTACCAATATGACTCAGATTAGAAGTTAGTAACTTCATTTTGACTTTTTGGTTTAACCTCTGCTAACTTTCTTCCAATCATCTCCAACACCGGTTAGCATTGCACGTCGTCGTAATCAGTGTTCAGGCATACGCAACATGCGACCCAACCATCTTAGTCGATGAAGATTTACAAACGGTGATTGTCCATAACTAAATAATCAATAATATTGATAGATTAGCTGTCCAATGTTTTCTTGTTATTGACTTAATTCAAATTTATAATCATCTATATACATTTTCATTTTGTTTAAAATTCAATATGAATCATTCATTATAATTTCAGTGTACATATAAGTAATAAATTAAAATTAAGAAAAAAACTTTTTGGTTAATCATATTTTTTTTTTCATTTTAATGAATAAATTATGTAAATTCATAATGAATTTATGAAATCAGTAATAACAAAAGTTTCATTTATAAGTAAGATTTTTTTCATTTCTATATAGTTTTAAAAAAAATAAAACTCAATGAATCAATGGTTGTTATAGTGATTTAATTAGCTTAAGATTCAATGATAATCAATTGATGAGTTGTACAATGTAATGAAATAATCACTCTCAATTTCATTATCACTTATTCAAATACATGTATTAATAGAATTTGGTTCAATTTCTAATTATAATTCTATGATTTAGATACAAAAGATTCATGATCTCAATCAAAAACTTAATAATCTCTACAACTTCTATATTGGTAATTAACTTGTGCGCACTAGTGACTAGCTTTGTGAGGGAATTCTCGGAGTTCTGTTGAAAAGCCATGACCAATGGAGCTAGACAGTGTTGGGTAAAGACAGGCATCTACCTCGGTACAATGGAAGATAGTAGCGCAATTTCGTGGATTGGTTGATTTAGACAGTAACACCATTGTATGCCGGCTTGGTGGTCCAGTAGGTTAAGTGTTCACGCGTGAGAATGAAGGCCCTGGGTTCGAATCCTGCGAATGGGATCGTGAATGCTCACTGTTGAGGAATCCCACAATAGGACGTAACGGCCGTCCAGTGCTTCCATGTTTCCAACGGTGGTCTAACATCAATTGGTTCATGATCTCAATCAAAAACAAGAAGAAAAATTATCATCTAATTAGGCAAGATAAAGATCAGCTGTAAAATTAGAAAAACTAACAATCAATTCAATTATCCTAAACGTTGTTTCTCAAGTTCAACTCTGTCGATGTGTACTGAGATGAATTGAAAATAGGTAATTTAGTGAACAAAGCATATGAATGGGGAATAATCGAATGTACTTGAACACGAAATTAAAGAATATCTCATTAAAGTCTGAGAAAATACAGTAAATACCTAATTCGCAAAATATCAATCCATCGTCTTAGACTTCATTGTCCCTGCATTTTATTACTAATTACTTTCCGTTCTCGTTCATCCCTTCTCGATCTTCTACTGAAATACATTCTTTTCCTGACTACCATTATATACTACTTATGTGGATATAAGTTACTCACATCACAGGTAGAGATGATGAAACGACCAATCGTTACTTTCAGGTTTTCAAAGGCGGTTCAGTTTGTTATTTAAACTATCAAGATTCCACAGTTTCCATAAATTTCTTTGTGTTAACATGTCTTGTTTTTGAATGGAAATAAAATTCAGGTATCAATAAAAGAAACCGGCATACCAATAATAACTCATTCATTCATTCATGAAACTATCTATAGAGTGGATCACAGCATACTATTATGAAAGCTTTCGTTATTCTATACATCATAATATTGTACCGTGTGTACCTTTCTTTCAGTGAAGTTAGACGCAAGGCATTAGGGAATGATAGCAAATCAGTAGATGAAGTGAATATATATTGACTGAGATGGTTGGTTCGCGTGTTGCGTATGCCTAAACACTGATTACCACGACGCGCAGTGCTAACTGGTGTTGGGGATGGTTGGAAGAAAGTTAGCAGAGGCCAAACCAAAAAGTGGCATCAGTCAATGAAGTTACGAACTTCTAATCTGAGTCATGTTCATAGATGCAGACTACTTGATAGGGGTCCGTGTGACTATAGTAACCAATGGATGGAGACTGAGTGACATGGCTCAGAATTGATCACGATGGTGTAGACTTATACACTCTCTATACTTTTCTTTCTAATTTTTTTCTTCCTGTATTATACACGATCTTTTTTTATATATAAATACCATTGAATTAACCCCTTCTATGAATTTAGTGTTTATCTTGATGTGCTAGTAAAGTGTGGCAACTTAGACCGATGACTATATGTGTCTGATCCTACGTTGTAATCGACTGACTGACTTCTTTCAGCTATCTTATTCTTAGGTATTTGGTAAATTATCGTCTAACAGGCCTCTTTTTTTGTATTAAGCAAGCATTATCAATTCAACATGATTTAACTTTGATTTGAAATAGGTGAATTCTGAGAAACTCTATGGTAAACTATAAATAAATTTGGTTTATAGCAATATAATAAAATTCAGACATCATATTTCTTCCTGTCTAAGACTCACTAATTAGATTGTGGTGCATGCTACTTATGCTGACAGATATAAATAATATGTAACATAAATTGGAAGAAGAATGCCTTTCAACAGAAGATTGGATTGAAGGGGACAGGAAAGGAAGTAAAGAGCGATTGTGATAACAACAGAATTGAAAGAATGATGAAGCATATACAGAAAAATTGAAGGAAGATGTGCAAATAACATGTTCAATGTATAGTTTTCGTATTTTATGAAAGTAACCTGTACAAAACAATGAGTTTTTTTTCTCTACCGCCCTCATTCTCGTTCACTACAGCATATTTAGTCGACATGAAAGATTACAATACAAGATATAATCCAAATTTACTAAAACTTATAACTGAAGGTATTATCATAATGATCCTTACATGATTCACCTATCCTAACAGAGAATAATCGAATACATTCCTTAATATCAGCAATGTATAGCTTCGGTTGAGTGTCGTGAAAATGAATAATTAACGACTCAAACTGATCCTCAACCAGTTATCAGTTACATACTTTTTTGTAACTAGTGGCTTTCTTATTAAATAGATCAGTTCATTTGTCTACTGATAGATTACTTACTTAATTATATCGCTCTTCTTTTTATCTTTTCATCAACAATAGAAATGATGTAAAGTTGTAAGGAATATGCTTCCAACTAAACAAGTCACAGATTCAAAAGTTCATTTCACCTTCTTTACTTTCAGTGACCGGGTTATACCACCAACACCTATACATGAACGGTATGATTTTAAGCATAAACTCAGAGTAACTAAGTTACATTTCAATACAGACAATGATGAAAATTTTGGTTAACTACACCAATATGACCTATTTATTCATTTCCCCCCCCCCTTCATTTCTTTATCTCTCCTTTTTCTATTCTTACCATTTTAGATCATGTATTGTACACGTAATACACATAAATTAGATATGGATAAATTATTAAGTTATGAAATTGGTTTAAATGATTTTTTATTTGCACATATTAAAGGACAACCAAAAGAGATTAAAATACGTAAAACAAGTGAATCATTTGGTTTAACATTAACAGATAATGGTTGTGGTGTAGTCATTATAAAACGTATTAAACCTGGAAGTTTTATGGATAAAGTATCTAAAGCATGTCATGGTTTAATACAACCTGGTGATCAAATTGAAAAAATTGATGATATTTCATTTAATGGTCGACGTCATTATCATGTAGCATCTTATTTACAAAATATTCCTATAACAAATGTATTTTGTTTACGATTAATTTCACCAGAACGTTGTCCTATGTGTAAGTCTATTATATCATGTATTGTTTTTTGCTAAAAAATTTTTTAATAATTCTATCCCATTTATAAAATAAAATTCAAGTAATCTCGTAATGAAATATGACAATGAACTTCGTTGACGAAGTGCTACTCAGAAGATAGATACACGGACATTATCAACTTAGAGCTTCGCATAGATATACATTAGTCCAAGATGTCATACCTCATTCATTTGAAAAGACATGGGAGTAAAGGTATGCACGAAAGTATAATGGAAAAGGAACAAATGTAATTGTAACATTATGGACCATTTTGAGTGAACTGTTGGTTAGGATAGTTTAATGCGCTACAATCATGCAGTGTACATTTACCAGCATCGTCTAGTTCAACAGTTGATAATTTTACGGATTGGTGTCGTCTTCGTTTAACATTCCCAACGTTCTTCTAACTTATTACGCTTGTCATGATAGACAGTGATTAAGCATACATAGTAGACGTTTCAACGAACTCATAAAATAAAGATTTACATCTTTACCTAGAATCATGTGTTTAATTTAATTATTGTCTACTCAATCGTTTCACATTATACAAGTAATGTTTCAAAGACACCTTCATTCAAGAACATGCAATCTAACCACATTTTCTAATTTCGTAGACTATATTTCACAGTTAGAACATAACAGATTGAAGGTAGACACTGGTGAATTAGTGTATGAGGATAGTTTGTGAAATTTGTTTAGTATACAGCTACTTCTCATTATGAACTGAAAAAAAGTAAAGCTTTTATCTTTGAAAGCCATTCCATTTTAATATGAGCGTTATAGACTTACCGTAAAAAGCTGGGAAGCACTGAAAAAAACTATTCGCTTCAGTATAAGACTCATAAATAGTGTGTGGCTACTAGCCATTGGAGGTCAAACACAGGGCTTCTTAGCATGGAGTTTGTGGATTCAACCTACATTGACAGGGTCGTAGATGTGCGCTTCTAAATAGTTCTATATGAAACTGAAACAGACGTCGATTGCTTCCAAATTTCCAACGGTTGTCTAATTAATCAATTCATCATTATTATTTCAATTAATCATTTGACAATATTATGATCATGATCTTCTCAAAATAAACTCCAGATAAATACCCAGTCAACACAAATAATCATTCGTTAAACTTCGACGAATAAATAATACCACAAATCAAGTAACCTAACTTAACTAATAGAATTCATTCATTTCCATGGTACTAGACAAACATAACACTGATTATTACTTATTGATCAGTCACTTGTAAAAAAATTACTTTCTGTAAATCAGTTTATAGATTATGTAAATAATGGAAATATCTAAATCCTTGATGTAAGTTGTTTGTAAGTATGTAATATAATTATGATGTATTGTGACTTACTTATAAAGTACAAATTTCTGTATTTAATTTTAGGCTATAAGATCTATTTGATGTCTTATTGTATTTTTATCTGATGATCACTCGAATTGAAATAGACTCTGTCAAGTTCAAATATGTAAAATAATCATTTGAAATCTTTTGTATAATATCATTTAAACTCCTGGACTAAATTTGTTAAATGTAACTTTTCAGTCGATGTAGGAGGAATCATAGGAATTGAAGAGGAAGTCTGACTATGAATGCAGTGGTCTTGAGTCCTGTTAGAGATATGAAGGCGGTTATCACTTCCTGGTTGCCCATACCGTGAAAGGGTTCTTCTAGAGGTACCTGAAAACGGAATTGGCTTAAAGGTGGTTTTAGTGACTTGAGGCATGACTTCAGTGCTCAAGAGACAACTGCTTGATGTCGGTCATATACGACCATTTTGTGCGTAATTTTCGTGTTAGCTTCGTATTTGTTGAGACCTTAACACCAGAGACGGATATCCGTGGAATAAGGCGAGTTGTGCATTTTTAGTATGAACCTTTTCGAATCCCACCACTCCTTTTGGGAAGGCAGCATCGCTGTTATGCTGGTTGCCTGAAGGAAACAACTTACTGCCGTCACACCTCTGTATAGTTATCAGTCCAACTTCGTCCCCAAACCTTAAGTTTGTTGTTTTCAGTTTTACCACTCTTCATCCGACCTGTCTGGAATGATAGGATTTTGAGGAACGATTGTCCCAGCCAGTGTTTCTCAATTGGCTCATCAAAATATGTAAGCTCGACCACCACGTCAGGGTAGAAACAACGGTTGGGAAATGTAACTTTTAATTTCACGAGATTATTTAAAAAGTTCCAACACGCTCTTTCTCCAAATTAAATCTCACTTATGATAAGTTTCCAGTGATATTTTCTTCAAAATGAAATCTTTTAAGCCTTATTTGCAAGTGAAGATGTTTTCATTTTTAAAGGTAATTTGTACCACAAAGGAATATCAACTATGATCAAAACTAAGAAATATTGAGTGAATGTTTTGCTTTTAATTCTAAAGACATCAAAGACACGAAACTTTTAATTTCTATGATTAACTACCTATGTTACCAATGATATCAGTCAAGAAATGTAGAACAGTATTATGTGGATGTGAATCAATAAAACTGGTAGAGGAAGAGTTGATATCGATTCCTATTAATGACAGAAGAATGATTATTACATCCTGGCCCTCTTCATTATGGAAGAATGTTTGTTCTTGAGTTGCAGCAGAAGGCAACTCCATGAGAGATGAACTTGACGACCTGAGAGAAACAGTATAATGTTTAGGACTAGTCACAAATGACATTTTGGATAGTTTCGGTATACGAAGGATTCTGATTTGTTCAACCATCACCTGTTTTTGTTTCACTTATATCTAAGTTATGTTCATATTGTAATCTTCTCACTGTATTGTTATGTGGTCAGATATCTCAAACATGAGTTTTGTGTCATAAGGGAAATAAACATAATTGAACACTTGCCCGTCTTCTATCTTCATCTTCTGATCGATCACTGTGTTGGAAGTAGCTGGAGCACAAATAAGCGTCAAGGTCTTGTGATTGTTGTTCATTGGTCTGTTTGAAAATTGGTAAATAGGTCACCGATATTATTGCAAAAATTAATGAACTAGTAGATAATCCGGTTAGCAAGAGGTCAGACAACTACTTTCTCATTATTACGGGTTGATAACACGTAGCCGAAAATGACTCAAGCAATCAATATTTTTTCCAAAAAGATTTATAACCAGTGATGACCAAACGTGTTCAATCCAGATTAGTTTTGTTTTCTAGGTATTACAATTTTCCATAATCAACTATCTTTACATAGTAATTTCTTCCAAATAAACTTAGACCTAATGTGACATACAATGTTCAAGGTTCAGTAACATTGTAATTAAGCTAATTTCTAAATAAGCAAATATGGATAGTGGATAGCAGTGGGATCCAGGACACGCGTTTCGTCCTATTTGGGACTCGTCGTCTGGATGTGCCTGCATCCCAGAGTTAATGATCACTGTAGAACGCGCCATTGCGCTATAAGCTTAGCTACTGAGTCCCGATAGTCAACCGTTTGTGCCATGTGGTGAAGTTTTAAATTCACTCAATTTTGCTTACTTGTAACTTCATATTGTTATTTAAGACTGCAATTGATCAGACTCTCTCTTATTGACATATTTGCATCCTATGCTGACTGTACTGCGAACGTTAGTGCGTTCGATTCTCAGATTGAACATCAGTTCTGAGATGCAGGTACATCCAACTGACGAGTCTCTGATAAGAAGAAACATGAGTTTTGAATTTCACTGACAGCCATTATCCATCTTTGCTTATAAAGCTTGTGAATTAAGGCAATATCGAAGCAGTCCGCACAGGATATACATATGCTAATAAGAGAATGATCAATTGCAGTCTCAAATAACAATGGAAAGATTCAAACAAACAATACCATGTGAATCAAAACTCCACCTCATTACACAAGCAAGTGACTAACGGGACTCAGTATGTAATTACATAACGTGATGGCATATGAAGCCAGCGGTACTAGATACGAATTCCAGATTGAACATCAACTCTGGGATGCAGGTACATCCAGATGACAAGTCCGACATAGAACGAAACGCGCGTCCTGGATTCCATTGTTAACCACTATGCACCTTTGCTTATAAAGCTTATGACTGAAGGCAATATCGAGACAGTACTGTTTCATATAAATCTGTTTTGTTTTCCGTTATTCATCAACGAGTTATTACACTTCTATATATACATATATATTCACACATCATATCAACAATATCAACCACAATCACCACCGCCATCACCACAACAACAATAAAATCTTTTTATACATATAAAACGAAATATCAAATGATTAGAGATAGAAAAGTCCAAGAAACAAAACAAAACAAAACAAATCATATTAAGAAATCAATTTGCATTACAAATAAAGGAAACATTTTTATTGTGACTACTCTCCTACATTCACTTACACTATGCACACAATCTCGCGCGCACACACACACACAAACATATGAACACATATACATTCATGTGATTATGATGAAATTATGAAATGAACAATTTATTAGTATTATTGATAATATTTGTTATGTAATCAATGTAAAACTATAGATATGTATATGTTAAAATAACAACTATTCATAAATTCCATATTTAATGTTTATTATTTGTTATAATTATGCCAAGTGAATAGAAAAGTTTATTAAGTTCAGTAATGTGCATCCATGACCACAGCACTGGGGATCAAATTCATGACCTTCATTCTCGTATTCACGGACTCATAATTTCTAGACTACTACTGTTACTGATACTATTACTACCACTACTGCTGCTACTATTTAGACTGCTTAGGTATTTATGTTGGTAATTTTTATCTCTCTGTATCGATGGAGTATAGTATTTGCTTCACGAATAATTTTATTGATTTTTTGTATAAAATGCCTTGACACATATATGTTTGACCAGATTGTTCAAAATGTATAACGCAAATTACACCACATTGAATCGAGCCTTTTGTATCAGTGCTAAGATTTCGTTACACACCAGATCACAAGGGTTGATAAGATTCCCAAGATATGTTTAACAGTCTGTGCGATAATGAAATTTCAGAAAATTAGATAGCTTAGTGGAAACATCTATGACTGTGAAGCTTGGTGAGACAGGATTGAATCCTTCAGGGAGCACCAGTTCCCTTAAGATTACAGGTACACCTTGCTGATGAGTGCCGAATAGCACAAAACTTGGGCCCTGGGTTCCCTGTAGACTACATCCAACCATCACCTTATCTCAACAATACTTTGTGAATAAAAGAAGCTTACATATACACAAATATCAAATTAGTTTAATAGAAGTGCCTGGATTTACTTACAATATCTTCTATATTCAATCCTCTAAATAGGTGAATACTACTTATTAAAGAATGATTTATACCAAAGATTTTATCTCAAGAATTTGTAACTATTGTTAACGACAGCGTTTGAAGCGAACGTTACTGGGTTTGAGTCCTGGAGAGGACATCAACTCTGAAATGCAGGCATATTTAGTTGACGAGTCCCAAATGGGACGAAACATGCGTCCTAGTTTTCACTGCTATCCATTATCCATCTAATTAGAGAATTTTTATAATGTAATATTAAATAATTTTATACTATATAAGAATTAATATTTTACTGACTTGTTATAGATTTACATTTTTGTACATTCTATACAATTTAGATATGATAAGTTCACGTTCAGAAGGTAGAAATAATCATGTTGGATCAGGTAAACGAACTATACGTTTTAAACAAGATGGAAATTTAGAAGAAAATGAGGTAAACAATTATAATCATAATTTTAATGTTTAAATAAAATTCAAATTTTATAGATTTATGTCATTATCAATAATACTTTTGTAATTGATACAGTTTAGTTAAGTCGGGATCAAGACAAATATCATTATTATCAGAAGAGTTTTTTGTGGATATTATGGTAATTTTAATGATTGAGATCATGAAGAGTCCTATACTAGGACGAAATGGTTGTCCAGTGCCTCGAGGTTTTCCATAATGGTCTAGCTTCAACTAACTCATGAACTCAATCATTGAGATATCATTAATTTCAATGGATGTTGATCGTGCTGTAGGGCCAGTGAAATATCACTGAGCCCTAGCTAAATCAACGGGCAGTTGGGTCACTGAATATAGAACAGATCATCGATCCTTGTCAAGATCAAGGACAACCGATGAGCATCAGTTAATCGTATGCCATGGACTGGCCAATGAGATGGTTGTCTCACTAACTCGAATAGGTCTCCAATCATTCGACATAGATCATCAACCTTGGTGATCTACAGTACAATATCACCAGTTCAACATAGGATTACTGTTTTCATAGAAACATGATGAATAGCTAAAATGATGACTTACACAATTTATTAAAACTGTTCTACTGTGTGCTGATATTACTTTATTTTGTTTCCCATATCTATGTATACTTCAAATGTAAACATTTTCTTTGTAAAGCTTATCAATTCTAAAATCTTCACTTATTATTGGTAAATTTTCATTTGACTGTCATTTACTATAATCAGAGAGTCAACAGACAATTTAAAACTATACAGAGAGTATAATGTGTTTTTTTTCCTAATCGTTCATTCCACAGTAGCATTCACTTATAAACCACAAACTGAACTGACATTAGTATCATCAAGTACATTAGCAAATTGAATGATTTAAATGCCATTTCATTTTTAATGGTTTGGTTTATTTTATTACTGATATTTTGGCATGACTTTGATATTATGACGTACGTTTACACAAAATAGATATAATTTATATAGCAGTGGAATTTAGAACATTCATTCTATCACAATTCAAATTTGTCAATTAGACATAGTCTCACTATAGCTTATTTTATTTTATTTCATTTAAACAAACAAACACTGGTACAAGGAGGCACCAAATACATATGCGCTACACATATCTCATTCGATTTGTATGAAAGCTGTGATACTGCCCGGGTGCTCAGATCGAAGCAGGTGGTTTACTTAGGGGGTCACACCCCGAGCCTTTGACTTAAAGGGCTAATCCACAAGGCAGTGGAGCATCGTGAGCAGATGTGGTCCCATGTTAGCCGGTGACCAACGATTGGTTCATACGCCATTTGTTCCCTCAGGATACTGGAGCCCATGTGCACCATTGGTTTGGTTTGTGATCCGGTTAAAGCGCCGGACATTCGCCTTTCGTCCTCTCAATTTCGTAAGCAACAAACCCGCCACGAGAAGGCATCGGGCAGGACTTCCCTAGCAGAGACTGTATACACGTGGCCTTGTGAAAGCATTTTGAGAAGGAGGGCGGGCCCACCCCACTCTCGGCCATAGGAGGGCATTTGGGGGTACCCTTACTGGAAAGTTAATATCCACTTCTATATTCGAACCCGGCACATTTACCTTAGTTTAAATGCATCAGTGTTTATAGCTCAAATTTTAGCTGATTAGACTTAAATATAACAAAATAGCAAAATTTTCAATTCTATTATCAATCATATTTCACTTTTTTTAATGTAAACTTAGAGACTATATATTTTCACACTTTAATTCTCTTCATGAAAAGACTCTATTTTTTTTGTTCCTTTTGCATCACATCAAAGTAAATTACAAAACAAGCAATCAATGTCTTATACTGTCGATTGAAATTGAATTTTCACTCTATGTAATAATCACAAATTGTACTTGGTGTAGAACATTTCAACTGATGTATATATTTCATGTGTATCTATGCATGTGTATGTGTGTGTATGTATGTGTGTGTGTGATTGGTATTAATTTCAAGTTTTATTTAGGCTGTAATTTGAGTGATTTTATTTTGTGCATTTTATTGCATTTGAATACAATACTAAAGAATAAATTTATAATTAGAATAATCAATGTATCAATATTAAGTTGATATATTTCTAAGGTAGACGTTGGTTTATTTTATCCATTAATTCCAATCATGAATTTTACAATAAATCAAACATTTATTTCAATTTTTCTTTCTAGAATACTAGAAGAACAAGCATTCATTTAGCATTTATAGAATCATTATAATAACCAGAAAACCCCTTTCTAATAATAATAATGATGATGCTCACTGGTGACGGTCTCCAAGAGATACATCTTGAAGTTCTAGTGAAAAGCAATGACCAGTGGAGTTCAACCAGGTCTGTTGTATGATAGTAACTCACTAAAGACAATGGTGGACGATAGAGCAATTTCGTGGATTAGTTGAAGTTAGACATTCACATCGTTAGATGTCGGCCACATCAGTCGCGTAAAGATTAAGCGTTTGCGCGTGTTCGAATCTCGCGGAAGGGCGGGATAGTGGATGCACACTGCTGAGGAGTGTAGCTTCAGTTGACTCATTTTTCAACGGAAAAATTCATCTCAAAAGTTTACAGTTCTGATAAGCGCTACTTTAGTTAAAATGTTAATGTAAGAATAACATTGTGAGGATAGTCTATGGATGAACTCTGGGAAGCTTTAAGAAGCTCAGAAAGAGCTAAAGATATTCCATACAATCATCTTTTGGAAGAATATTCCAGAATCCCTAAGTTCAGCTCCTCTATTGAACAAATGCTAATAACCTTTTGTATCCGGATTGGAGAACTCTATAAATACCTAATAGTTTTGTATCATAATTGACACCATTTCAGAATACCATTCCTTTCACTTGTCGACTGTTTCCCCATTTGCAGCATGGGAGGGTTTATGCCTTTGACTACTCAAGTTATCAGATGGGTTTTTTGTGAATATTATAGTCATTTCAATGGTTAAGATCATGAATCAGTTGAAGCTAGACCACCATGGAAAACTTGGAAGCACTGGACGGCCGTTTCGTTTTATTGTAGGACTCCTCAGCAGCGCACATCCAAGACCCCGCCTCACGAGATTCAAACCCAGGACCTACTAGTTTCGCACGCGAGCACTTAACCACTAGACAACTGAGCTGGCATCCAACGGTGTGCTTCCAGGTTTTCCATGGGGGTCTACCTTCAACTGACTCATGATCTTAAGCACTGAAATTACTATAATATCCACAGAAGACCCCTTCTGATACTAATCAACATATGCTCACTAGTGACTGGCTTCAAGAGGTATATCCTGGAGTTCTAGTGATAAGCAGTGACCAATGGAGTTCAACCAGGTCTGTTGTAAAATAGTAACTCAATGAAGACAATGGTGGATGTGTCGCTCAATTTGGTGGATTAGTTGAAGTTAGACATTAACACAGTTGGACGTCGGTCGGCTCAGTGGTCTAGTGATTAATTGCTTGCGCGCGAAACCAGCAGGTCGTGGTTTTAAATCTCGTGGGGGGCGAGGTCGTGGATGCGCACTGTTGAGGAGTCCCACAATGAGACGAAATGGCCGTCCAGTGCTTTCAGGTTTTTCATGGTGATCTAGCTTCAACTGACTCATGATCTTAATCAAGTTATACTCGGTATATTTTTAGAATTTAAACTGTAGACATAATAACAATGCACTTAATTAACCTATCATATAGTGAATAAAAACATTTACCATATAAAGTAATTATGGAGTAATGAATTAGTATATGTATGACGTAATATATATATATCACATGTTAGCATGATTTTTCTCCTTTTTTTTCTTTTTTTAATTCTAAAAGTCATTTAAATCAATTCATCATGTTGTTGTTTTTTCTTCTTCAAAAACAATTTGCCAAAAAATTTTTTTCATTTAAAATATTTTACTGTTGTCATGGTAACAGTAACTATTAATCAATAATTGATTGTATAAAAATAATTCTATAATCATTTACTTTTTGTTGGTTTTATGAATCTTCTTATTGACATTTAGAATTGTACTTAATCCGTTTTTCTATAGATATATGTGTATGTTGTGCAAATTGTCTTGATATTGATTTACGTCATTGTTATTGTAAATAAAGATAGATGGTGTCCAGCAATGGAATTCAGGATGTGCATTTCGTTTTATTTGGAACTCATCCATTGAATGTACCTATATGTCAAAGTTGATGTTTGTTTCGAGATGTGAACCTAGGAACGTGCGGTTCAAATTCTGTCCTCAACATCTATTACTTACTTACTTATGCCTGTTACTCCCAATTTAGCATTGGCTGGCAACCAGCATTCTCCAACCCACTCTATCCTGGGCTTTTCTTTCTAGTTCTATACAATTGTTGTTTATTCTTCTCATGTCTGTTTCCATTTCTCGATGTAATGTGTTCTTTGTTCTTCCTGTTAATTCTTGAGGACTCCAAGTGAGGGATTGCTTTATGACGCAGTTGGGTGCTTTTTTCAATGTGTGTCCTATTCACTTTAAGTGTTTCTTCCAAATTCCTTCCTCAGCTGGGCTCTGGTTTGTTCTCTCCTACAGTAGGTTGTTGTTGATAGTGTTTGGCCAACAGATCCGAAGTATTTTGCGTACAAAACTGTTAATAAACTGCTAGGGTTGAAGCTATCACGAGTTCACTTATTCTGCGGACGTGAAACACGACTCGGTGACCAAAGACCAGTAAGCTAGCTACTGATGAGTCCCGGCTCCGCTAACTAAAGGGAGAAGTCCAAGCTTGGAAAGGGGTAGTATATTCTGCAAACAGCCAGAAACGAGCGATAACAACAATTACAAATCAAAACGTATATATGCAGTACAAAAACGTCCTTGGGGAGAGTTACCAAACAGCATACTGAAAGACACAACGGACTAACAGCATTTAAGATATTTCCCAGTAGGAAGCACGACATGAAGGTGACAAGAGCGCCTTTGGCGCGAAAACAAAGAAATTCAAGTTTTTTAAATAAAATTACAAAATTAGGTTCTGAGGATCTAATGTTTCCAACATAAACACATATCTTCTGGATGATGGATTTTGTAGTTCTCCAAGTTTCCACCCTATACAGTAGAACTGTCTTGACATTTGAATTGAAAATTCTGACTTCGGTATTGGTTGTAAGTTGTTTTGAGTTCCAGATGTTCTTCAGTTTAAGATATTTTGCTCTTGCTTTGTCGATTCCCACTTTCACATCTAATGGAATATTCAATCAATCAATACAAAATGAACTAAAAATTAACTCCGTTGCACATGCTAGTGACTATCTGGCCTCAGTAGCTTATTGGATATCATGATAGCATTTAAATCAAGCGGTACTATGTTCTAGTTGGGGTTTGAACATCAACGCTAGAATTCAGGTACATTCAGCTGATGAGTCTCGGATTGGACGAGAGGTGCGTTCTAAATTCCACTGCTAACCCTCATCGATCTCTGATTTTATTTATATAATCAAGCTGGAAAAACGAAGTAGGTGTAAATGATTGATATCTTCATTGTTTCAATTTTCCTATCTCTAACAATTGATTGTACTCTGAATAGTGACTAATATCACAAATGTCTAGTCCTTCATCGTTGGCTGCAATGTGGCTACTGTTCTAAATGACTGGGAACTATGAACCTAAATTTCATGATAAATAGTATTAGTCCGTAAGGTTTATATGTAATTTTTAATAAACTGAATTCGGAACCCGAGTCGTACAACTTTACATTTTGAGACGTAACCATTGAGCTATGTGTATTGTGTTAGACCTATAGTATCAAGAGATTTACATTTAAATGACCATTAAGTAGTGACTAATCTCATGTCTGACTAATCCTTCTCGCTTTAACCAATTCGGATAAGAAACTAACTCGATCTCATAAATTGAACTTAGTACACTTTATACATTAAGATTGCCTTAAGCGATTGACCAGACAAAGAGTGAATATTATGACAACAGTCAATTGACTGGGTAATTTAGTTTCAGATTGTACAGACTACCAACAGAAAATGATCCGAGTTAAAGAATAAGAAATAATGTTACTGAAATAATATGGCAAGTCATCTATCTCTGTCATCCTAATATATTCCGACTTACATTGTATTAGATTCTTAATAATAGGCTACAATAATCATGATTATTCTATCTAACAAGTTTGTGTGTATTGGATATGCTTAGTCTAATATAAATAATGAGTTTATGAATTCATATTATGTCTTGTTATTTTACAGCCTACTTTTATGTTAGCCAGTAGGGCTAAATTGTGTGATGGATATTTTGGCGTGTTAATATTTCTAAACTACCTTAGTTGACAAAGGTTCAGTCAGTCAGTCAGTGAGCTACAACGTAGGACCAGGCATATATATGCATCGGTCCTAGTTGCCATACCGCATTAGCACAGCAAGCTGAACACCGGATTCATAGGAGTACTGAAGTCAATGGTAGTTATATATAAAAGAAAAATTGCATATAAGGATACGGTAAAGAAAGAAGAAATTAATACGTAGATAGATATGAAGCGATTTTAATCTCATAGTTTAATGGAAGACAGAGAGTATATACACCGACGCCATTGTGACCGATTCTGAGTCATGTTACACGCAGTCTCCAACCAAGTAATGTGCATCTACCAACATGACTCAGATTAGAAGTTAGTGACTTCAAGCACTGATATCACGTCTTGGTTTGGCCTCCGCTAACTTTCTTCCAACCATCTTCAACACCGGTTAGCATTGTGCGTCGCGGTAATTGGTGTTCAGGCATACACAACACGTGACCCAACCATCTCAGTCGATGAAGATTCACAACCTCATCAAGTGATTTACCATCATTCCCTAATACCCTACGTCTAAACTCACTATTACTTACCCAGTTGTCCCAGCAGATGCGAGAAACATTTCTAAGTCATCCGTGGTCAAATACTAGTAGCTTACTAGTATCTTCACCCCTTAATGGTCACGTTTCGCAGCCGTAAATTGAAATCGAACGAACTGCAGCGCAATATAGTCTCATCAACCAATTCACTAATTATATTTCTGAACTATGAGTTCATTTCCGAAATTCCAACCATATATGTAAAGTATATTAGAAATACCATTGTAATATATAGATGTATCCCTATCTTCTGCCTACAGATATTGTTTCACAACGGTTAAATCATATAATAATAATAATAATTGTTCAGTGTACTCACCCTTTGATAAACATATGGAACTCTAAACAGTATCAGTGATAGAATGAATTAATAAAGGTTAAATGTGTAATTTTTCTTATCAGTTCAATATTTAGACTTGAAACAATTTCTAATATAATGTATAGTGATTAATATTTATTTATTCACTTATGTTGCTTAATGCTTAACTCGTTATGTTGAATTGATTCCTTGACATATTTTTATTTATTGATTTAATCGATAACTCTATATTGTTGTATCCTTTATTGAATGGTTCCAATAGAAAATTAGACGAGACTATAATGTATGAATGAATCAATCATGGATAAGGTCTCGGAGTTTGGCACGGAATTCACTCATTCAATCAGATAAATAGAGTTTTGACATTATAGCTGATGTCAGTTGATGATCGAAACCTTAAATCTAATTTCTGTGAGACTATAAATTTATGGACGACCTTTGAGTGACGCTAAAATGACGTTGAGAATGTCCACCTACTTAGTAGAACTAAATGAAACCTATGTAAATAACAGGGATTATGATTAGGATTAGGCATTAGATTCATGACTTACATCACAAACTGATACTAGCTATAATGCCAATATTTTATTTAGCTAAATGAGTGAATGAATTTCGAGGCAAAATCTAAGACTTGTAGGATAAAGGAAGATTATGCAAGTGGATGATGTCATTATTTAAAAAGTTGAATATCTTTACTGAAATTATTGTCACTCATTATTTGATGAGTTATTTTCTTTACATATATATATATGTATAGATTGTTGATGTTGAAATTGAAGGAATTCAAAGAATTAATGAAATACTTGGTGATAGTCTTGGTTTTGAAGATAATGAACTTGGTAAGTGAAATGTGTAATTCATTTATTATTTTTAAAGAGATTAGTTGTTTTTAATAATGACTAAAGATTGAATCACATCTCAAATCATTTATTACATATCTTATTACCATATTTACAAATCCTGAGCACCTCAATAGCATTATCTAGCTCAAAGAATGATACTATATTAAATACGTAATTCTGAGCTACAAATGGTCATCATTCTTTCAAAATTTAAATCACACTCGTAATCAACGATTCAATACTTTTATTAGTGCGTTCTGAACATAGCATAGTTCTAGCTGTTCCCCTTCGTGGAGGAACATTAGTTGCCCTGTAGCATTCTCCATAAAACTCTGTCATGGACAATCCTTTCCAGCTCTTTTCAGTTGTTTAACATATCTGATTCTATTTTTTGATGTTATGTGTTGTTTGACCTTTCTCTCTTCCACTTCCCTTCAGGATTCCAAGTTAGGGCTTGCTTCATGATGAAGTTTGATGATTTCCGTAATATATGTCCTATCCATTTCCTAATTTCCTCTTCAGCTAGAAGCTGGTTGTTGCTAATGGTATCCGGCCAATGGTTGTTGAGTATCTTGCATAGACAACTATTTATAAATATTTACAACTTCTTGATGATGGTTGTAGTAGTTCTTCAAGTTTCAGCTTCATACATTAAAACTGTCTTAACGTTCATATTGACGATTTTGACTTTGATATTAGTTGACAGAAATATGTTTTGAATTCTATACAATATACATTGTTAGTTGGTTGCTAACTATAAATAAACATTTTTTAATTATTGATTCCTGTCAAGTACACAGATCATGAAAAACAAAAAGAAAACAACTTCACATCCACATATTTCTCACATATTCAATCATCAAACTCCGTATGCTATCGGTTATTAATCTTAGTTACATACCTAACTTTATTACTCATATAGATCCGTCATTGTCAAATCGAAACCATTGATTATTCAACTATACTACCATCTTTTCCTTTACACAATAAAAATTGTTACTTCCATTGTTTTGTTCACTGGAATTCATAATGAACGACATAAGTGTAATATATAAATAATTAAAAGAAAAACATTTGAAAGAAAAACAACAAAAAAGAGAGAAAGAAAAAAGAGAGAAAAGAAATGCAATTAAATCGTTAATGGTTTAGTTTCTCCTACTTAACAACAGTATTATTAATGATAAAATGGAATAGTTTAATTGAATTCAATATGATACATCATCATATTATATAATAAGTAATACATAATAAAATGTATCCATCATAAGTAAATTGACTGAGAGTATTTCTATTCATAAGAATAAATAAATACTAAATTCATTCTTTATTTATATTAATAAAACTATTGGTATGTGAAATTGAAATTAGATCATCATGGAAAATCTGGAAACATTGGACGATTGTTTCATTCTATTGTGGGACTACTCAACAGTGCGTATCTACGATCTCGCCTCGCAAGATTCGAACCCAGGACCTATTACTCTCGTGTGTAAACGGTTTACCTCTAGACTACTGAGCTGGCTGGTATCCAACAGTGTTAATGTCTAAATTCAAGTAATCCACCAAATTGAGCGATACATCCACTATTGTCTTCATTGAGTTACTATTTCATAACAGACCGATTGAACTTCACTGGTCACTGCTTCTCACTAGAACTTCAGGAAATACTTCTTAAAGCTAGTTACTAATGAGCATATGTTGATTCATATCATAAGGGTTAATAGTAATATGGTAAAAACAAAAATGTAAAGAAAATTTTGTAAATAAAATGCATAGTAGGAGAATATCATCTTGTCAATTGAGATAATAATGATAATAATAATATTGTTGTGTGAATATAACATGTAATAAGAGGGATGTTATCACGGTAATTACGATAAACGAATTGAGAATGATAGATGTGAAGATTAAGATAGAGGTAATCAGAAAAAAAGAAGGGGGCAAGATGTTTATAATATTCAGTTGAGGTATTCGGTGATCTAGTCGTAGGTCAAGGTAAATGTAGATGCTGGATATAAGTTTGGTTTTCTGGAGTTGATCTAGATGACTTAGACTGTGTAGACTAACCGTGATGTAAATCCTTGAGGTACATATTTTGGAACTTGAGATAAAGCAGAGAAAGCTTCCTCTATTTTAATATGATGTTCATTATCTACAAAGTGAGAAAGGATAGTGCTGTTGTTCGATTTAGTGACTCCTTTTCCTAACCATGCTGGTACATATTCACGAACACAAAAAAATGAAGCCCTGTGAGTACGGTCTAGGTAATTAGCTCCACAGGATCAATTGAATCGGTATACACACATATTATATTGACTGATAAACATCGTGAGGCTATCCGCAAATCAAAAGTGAATGAACACACTCTTCGCACTAAATATAATAATGGATAGGACATCGTAATTCTGAACAAGTTAGATTACATAGATAAGATAAATTCCTTACTGAGTGATCAAACCAAATTCTAAAAGCTTGTGTCATATAAAAACCTCAACAAAAAGACCGAACGTCAACGAACTTCAGCATTAGAAATTTTTAAATCAACACCAATACATCTCTGAGCATATCTGTTATGGGCTCAAGCCTTTAGAACACATACCTCTTGACTTTGTGACGCACTTATGCGAGACACATAAGTCAAGGGTTCAAATCCCAACTAGACCACTGACTTGGTCGGTATTCATCAGTGTTAATGTCTAACTTCAACCAATCCACGAAGTCGCACTATCATACACCATTGTCTTTAGTGAATTGATATCTCACAACAAACCTGGTTGAACTTCAATATCATATCATTTTCAAAAGATATTTTCATTTTTAATCTCATGTTTATTGTTATTTGTTCTGTTGTTTTGTTTGTTTTGTTTTTCTTTTTGTTTTTCTCTTTTCTTTCTTTCCTTTCGATAATTAGCATTCTATTTATATAAATTAGCTAAATCATCATTAAATCCAAATGATTTAGAACAACATATGAATAGAAATAATAAATTATTTGAATTTATATTACCTAAAACATTAATTCATTTATTATGGAAAACTGCTCATTTCAATGATACATATTAATCATATTAAATATAATGATCATTATCATTGAAAGTTTTATGATAAATGAATTGAATGAATATTATATGATATGATAGTGGTTTATGAATAAATCTACAATTCCATGTATGTGATAATATAGAATAGTTAAATCAGAATTTTCACTACCGGTGAAAAGAAGACATTACTATCTCTTAATCACTCACTCCCTCTCTCGCTCCCGTTATCCTTCACCCGATTCTTCTACATGCGCTCTTTTTCACTATCTCATGTCTAACCGTTCCGCATTACTCTCTCTCACTCTCTTTCTCTCTCTCTCTATATATATATATCTCCTTATCCTTCCCCTATCCTTTTGCCTGCGTTCTATTTCTCTATCCCTCGTCTGCACTTCTAGGCGCTCTCATTCTCCCTCTATCCCTCGCTTGCTTTTCTATGTTCTCTTTTTCTTTCTTTGTTATTTGTAATTATAAGTATAGAAAATAGTTTAATTGAAAATGCTTTATTAAACGATGTATAATTTTTAACGCTTTTAATATGAACATATATATTGAATGATATTATTTGAATGCATAATTTATTTGATTATTGTGTGTACATTTCAATTTATATATGAATAATAATATTTATTCAATTAATTAAGTTGATGAAGAATATCATACAGACCGCTAAAAGAATTTGGGTTTGCTTTTAGTGAAATCACATTACTGTATAAAATTAATAGATCTGACTTCAAGAGATATTTCCTGAAGTAGTGACAAGTGGAGTTCAATCGGGTCTGTGGCTCATTGAAGATAATGGTGGATGAGTCATTCGATTTCATGGATTAGTTGAAGTTAGACACTAACACCCTTGGATGCTGGCCGGCTCAATGGTGTAAAGGTTCAGCGTCCGAGCGCTGAACCGAAAGTTTTCGGTTTGAATCGCGTTTGTAGGATCGGAGATGTGCACTACTGAGGAGTCCCATACTAAAATGAATCAACTGTCCACTTCTTCCAGGTTCCCAATAACAATCTAGCTTACAATGACTCGCGAAATGAACTATTAAAATTACTAAAATCTCCACAAAATCTCTTCTGATACTAATAAATTTAGTGATTAATTCTAACAGTTAGCTTGAAACGGTTTGATTTATAGATTTTATTTAACACAGACTATTCGCTCTGAAGATATCATTAGAAATCAAAGAATATTGAACTAGTGTTTCGTCACAGTATAGAGCTTCTCAACCGTCTAAACACTTCGAATAAACAATAATAGTCAGCATTTTAGTGGCTTATTGTTGTTTTAAAGAAAATTAGTAAATAATAGATTTTTTGACACATATGGAAGGAAACAATCATTAGAAGTAACATCAAATGTTTGTTGTATAACAAGCTTATTTTCACGTTACGTTGCAAATGTAAATCAAAATTTATATTAAAACAAAATGTAATTATAAAATGACATTAGCATAGTAAATGAATGGAAACTAACGATAATGCTTGTTACGAAGGAGAACACATATGGGAACTACCAGGTGTATTTTAAACATAAAACTACACAATATCTTCGCAAAATATGAGAATCATATACGGATTACTTCATTAGCAGTTGTTCCCAAGGATCATTGATTGTATCTCCCTTTGATCTGATTATTGGTTCTATATAACTGTCGTTTATTTTGCTAGTTGTTCAATAAATTCGATCGGTTTCTAAATGCTTATCGATTACTGATTGAGATGAGCGTCAAGCTCCTGAAAATTTTCTGTCATTCTTAGTGTTCTTTCTATCCACAATTTTAGCATTTCCCCAAATAAAATATGTGTTCACAATTGCCCACATGCATTCATATAAGTAAAGATATATTGTGGCGTTCCACCGCTAGTTGATTTTCATGCAAGCGAAGATTAAGCAGGCATTCACTTTGTTCTTAATTAGAATAGTTCATTTTGTAGATAATATTCGACTTTTCTTCTCTTTATCATTTCATACTTTGGTTCGCATAAGAATAATTGATGTGGGTTTACTAGTTAATCTTCCAAGATGTCGTACGTAGGAGTAAAATCAAACATTCTTCTTGTTTATGAGTTTTGGAACATCGATGAACTTTCCATCCAATTACGGTATGTATTCAATGCGACAGTGACCTTGGAATTGTATTATTTTAGGTGAATCACAGTGGTACGTTTAAAGTACACTGATTAGGTCCTCTATTATGCCTTGATTTTGTTAACGTATGCAAACACCTATAGTCAACATTTTAATATACCTTGAAAATGCTATAGACACATGTTTTATGAATCAAAAGGTCTTTCATTATATTGATCATTTATTTATTTGAACACATAAATATTGGTACAAGAGGGCACCAAATAGATATGTGTCACACAAAACGATGAGAATTTGAAGAGAAGGAAAAAAAGGGTAAGTAGCGTAAAAAAGGAACGATAACGAACAGATTAGTGTAAGGTAGTGTAATAATAATAATAGGGGAAACAGAAGCGTACAATCAGAAGAGATCTCTCACTTAAGGAAGAAGCAACCACTTTTTATGAAGAACGTAAAAGAACGTTACAGTAGGATCTTCACTGTCTTCTATTCTGAGCCATATCTGATAACGTTTCTACTCGAGAACGTTTAGATAAAGCCGAATTCTCACCATACGCGAGCTGCTGTATAAGTCAAAAAATAAGGATAGACAGAGTAGGAATAAAAAAGAGTGAATAAATGACGTAGTGAATAATAATGATAATGATAATAATAATGTGAATCGTTTGATTGTTAATTGAAGCAAGAAAAGTATTTTCCATAATTATCGACAGTTTGTCATATTTGTTTGTGGGCTGTGATACTGCCCGGGTGCCCAAACCGAAGCAGGTGGATTTTTTAGGGGGCCACATCCCGAGCCTTTGACCTAAAGGTCTAATCCACAAGGCAGTGGAGCATTGTTAGGAGATGCAGTTTCATGATACCCAGTGACCGAAAATTGATTCATACGCCATTTGTTCCCGCAGTGTACTGGAGGCCATGTGCACCATTGGTTTGGTTTGAGATCCGATTAAAGCGCCGGACATTCGCTTTTCGTCTTCTCATTTTCGTAAACAACACCCACGCCACGAGAAGGCAGTAAGTAGGAATTCTCTGTCAGAGGCTGTACTTTTATCGGCTTTCCTAAAGAAAAAACATCGAACGATTCATGGTCTCAATCATAAACGCATCAATCTCCACTTATCCATAATAATAATAAACATGTACTCACTAGTGACTAGCTTCACAAAGGAATTCTCGAAGTTTTAGTGGGAAGTCTTAGCCAGTAGAACTCATCGGTGTCAGATAGAAACAAGTATCTGCCTCAGACAATGGATGGATAACTGGTTGTACATCCATTCATGGATCGATGGACTTTAGATGATAACATCGTTAAATACCGGCTCATCGGTCTAAAGGTTAAGCGTACGTGCGCCAGACCGAAGGTCTTGGATTCCAATCGCACTTGAGAGATCCATAAACCCCATTCTGTTGATAATAATAATAATAATAATAATAATAATAATAATAACATACTTGTTTACAAAAAACTATTTATGAATAGTTTATATGATAGTACCACTACATAATCGTAATCAATTCTAACCATTAACGATGATTATTTAGTTGATTGACAAGAGGTTTTTTATTTCTATGTCATTTATAGTAAACATTTTAATGATGATTTATGTTATTATTTACATAATTCATCATTTTGTTTTTGGCAAATATTTACCAAAAAAAAAAAATCAAAGTGCATTAACACATTGTAATATGAATGATATGAATAGTTCATTGAAATGTTTGAAACATTAATATAGTTCTTTATAAGCAAAGATGAATAGTGGTTAACAGTAGAATCCAAGATGCACGTTTCGTTCTATTTACCAACACGAGATTGATCAATTGCAGTCTTAAATAACAAAGGGAAAGATACAAGTAAAATAATACCAAGTGAATTTAAAGTAGTGTAGTTCTTTGTATGAAAAAAAGATTGATGATAACATTATCAGTTTAAGACTATTGACAAGATTATGATATTTTGATAATGATCAACATATCCTCATTAGTGACTGACTTCGAAAGGTATTTCCTGGAGTTCTAGTGAGAAGCAGTGACCAGTGGAGTTCAACTGGGTCGGTTGTGAAATAACAATGGTGGATGTGTCAATCAATTCCGTGGATTAGTTGAAGTTAGACATTGACACAGTTTGGATGTCGACCGACTCAGTAGTGTAAAGGTTAAGCGTTTGCGCGCGAGAGTGATAGGTCCTGGGTTCAAATCTCGCGGAAGGGTGGGATCGTGGATACGCACTTCTGAGGAGTTCCACAATGAGATGAAACAGTCGTCCAGTGCTCCCAGGTTTCCCATGGTGGTTTAATTTCAGTTCACTCATGATCTCAACTAATGAAATTAATACAATATCCACAAAACCCCTTCTGAAGATTATGATTAACTCTGGCTGAACATCATAGGAAGTAATTTCCTTTATAAAGTAGGAGTCGTGTTAGTTTGTTCATTAGTTACAATACATCTTTCTCTATTTTTTTCCTAAAAACACCTGTCCTAGTTATTCAGAATACTTGTACTGGTTGACCAATTTTTAGTTATTCCGTTGTCGTTTCCTGATAGTACAACATCTTTTCAACTACAAGTATTACCGTTGAATTGTAAGCTCAGATAGTTTTCCTATGTTCATTTTATGAACAGTGAATTAGTGATGTATGCCTCGTATATCCACAGACATAAGTAGTATGTTGCACCAGTCAGAAGTGGAATGCCTGGCAACTGAAGGTTAAAAAGATTTAACGGAAGAGAACAGAACTGTAAATAGCGAGAGAGTTATTGTAATAAAAATTAGAATGAATGAACGATTGATTTTGTAAGAGACAGGTGATGGAAAATGTACAAATGAAGTATTTAATACATGGTTTACATATTTTACTAACTTGCGCTTGTATCCATCTTAAACGAGCAAAGGTTGTCCACCAGTAATCTTCATCGAATTCTAAACACTTTTAAGTCTGACCACCTAAATGTTTGTTCACTACATAATGACAATCAGAAAACCCATAAACTTTCACACATTTATATGTTCTCATTTACACTCATGTTTGAGGATTGTCTTAAAATGGAATATCCTACAAATCTTTACACGTTCCATTGAAATTCTTGATTGACTTATTTAACAATGATTTCTAAAAACAGTCTAAAACACCTTTGTTTAATTTATGTTCACACTGTAATCTTCACACTGTATTGCTATGTGGTCAGATATCTCGAAGATGAGTTTTGTATCATTATGGAAATGAACATAAAAGAGCACTTATCTGTATTCTATCTTCATCTTCTGGTTAGTCTTTTTGTTGAAAGTAATTGGAGCACAGATAAACGTCAAGCTCTTGTGACTGTTGTTCATTGGTCTGTTTGTAAATTGGTAAATAGGTCACCGGTATTATTGGTAATATGGATGAACTAGTCGATAATTGGGCTAGTGGGAGGTTAGACAACTACATCACATCATTATGTAGCAATGACAAGAGATCTAATACAACTCAAGCAATCAATTTTTTTTACTTCGGTAGTAAACCTCCAAGACGTACTTCTGGTATGCGTACATTATCTTCAGGCCT